AAAACATAGTCTGCATAAAAATGGGCACTTCGGACATGCAGCTATACATTTTTCTGTCAAGGTATTTGACTGCGGCAGCGGTCCGAATGACTCACGACCACAGAGAGCCATGACTCAGGGAAAAATACAGTGACTGGGCGAGAGGCAGCAGAAGACCCCGTGGCACGTTCATGCAACGTGAACCTGTACCGTAAACAGCCTAATGCATCACTGTCGCTGGTTTTACTTGCTGCTGATGTTGAATTGGTAGTTTAATTTTAAAAATTACTGTGCTTGCTGTTTTGCCAAATTATGAACATTTTTCCACCAAAAAAACAAAAGCGCACAGAATTTCGCAAGTTGCACATTTTGAGAAATTCAGTGAAATGTATTTACAGTCTGAAAAAGCAGCAAAGCACTAACAGGGCTTCTTTTTAATGTTTTGATGCTGATCAGAACTAGACACCATACAGGAAGTCAGGTCAGGAAACCAGCTTTTCTGCACGATGTCATTGCTTGATGTCATTGAGTTTTGAGCACATTTTGGATGATGCCTTTCTGTTTGCACTATGCAAGCCAGCAAAGTACTTGCAGCTCTCAGTGCCGTTACTTTATAATTTATTGGCTTCCGGCATTAATCTGTACATAAGGTGCTGGTACCTTTCACACCTTGAATGAATGTGTCTGTTTAAGTGAAAAAATACCCCTTTTCTTTAAACATACAGTGTTTGTTCTTCATTTTGAATTTTGGCATTGTGCTTAAATGGTATTGTCACTGTGGTTCTTACACTAATAGCCCTTATTAGATATTGCACTGGATGCAGTTCAAAAGAAGGAAAGGCTTTGGATACATATTAAGCTGGAAGCAGTGACTTCATACTTGACTTGGACTCTGATTTAAAGACTTGAGACTTTGCTCGGATTCGTCCCTCAGGGACCTCAGACTTGACTCAGGAACTTCATTAGCGGGCGGTACAGACTGCACACTGGTTTTCGCTCGCCGTCTACACCGTGACTGTGGCATTAGCGACGGTGCATAGTGAGTAGCTGCCGTGCATCGGCATGGTGATCTCTGCATCCCACCGGGGGGCAGTGTTGCTCTCCCTGGGGGCCTCGTACTGGGCCCATCGAGGCTGGGGACCGGAGCTCATCTCTCCAGGAAATCAGGGCCCTTCCTGGCTGATCGGACCCCATGCTGAGCAGGCTGATGGAGCATGCGAGTCTGAGGGAGGTGTGTGTGGATTAATGAGATTCTCAGGGGTTTGCGCATACTGACGGATGCAAACCTGCAATCTCAGTGTCAGATTTCCAGGCCAGTCCTGCCGGTTTTGTAGCCTAAGGCTGTGAATTAAGTTTTTCAAATCCTGTGTTTTGGCAAGCAGGTATTTAGTCTGGGTGAAGTATGCAAGGTGACAAAGGGAGGGGAGGTTTATTGGCGGGAGAAGCTTGTAGGAGAGCAGGGAGGACATCTGTCAGGGGCAGCATGGCTCTGCAACACTGTGAGCGGAATCATGGAAAACACGCTAAATCCCGCTAATGACTCATTACTGCTCCAACCAGACCTGCCGTTTAACTTTTATTCATTGGCAGCTTTTGAAATGTAGCATATGCGGTTCTCGTTTAACTCAGACCACGCCAACCGGTATAATCAAAACGTGTTTATTTTCTGTGAAAATGGGGGGGGGGCGTGCTGTGTGGAAATCAGGTTTAGCTCTCACGCCCGGTTTAAGATCGTCACTATGACACGGTGCAGAATCAATACACGAAAAGGTATGTGCCTTCAAAGCACGGTTCCTTTGGGGTTTAGGGACCAAACCCAAGAGCAGACAGCGACAAGGGCAGTTTGTTGTCCACCACAGCATGTGTGTTTACTAACGTCATGTAACATGCACGCTTTTCCTTGGGAAACATAACACTGCGGGTTTAGCGGTGGCCGTGTCCGACGATGCGCTGCGCTGCGCGTGCACCGTGCGGAGGGGATTTTCCCACCATGGCGGGGCCGCGCAGCGCCGGGCGGAGGGGGAGAGAGGGAGGGGATGCGCGGAGGGCGGGGTTCAGCAACAGGTTGGGCGCTTCGGGCGGCGTCGCTTCACTCCGCCTCGGTCGAGTGTGCTTTGCGGATATCAGCCGCTCTGCTCCTTTAAAGCCGGACTGCACCATTCGCCTCCCTGCCATCGGGGACGGTGCAGCCGGATTGCCGAGGAAAGGCTTGGATCGAAAGGGCGTCTTTCTCCGCTGTCTTCTTGGCTTGCGTCCCTCCATACCTGGGTCCCGGATCCTTCGCCCTCTCCCCGTCCTTGCCGTCCTTTTAAGCCCGGATTCGCCGTCCTTTGGCCGTGCCTCCCCTACTCGGATCCCTCCCGCTCATCGGTGCCGGTGGCCAGAAGACTTCGTGACTCGGCGCGGCACCGCGGAGCTCCGGTCCCGCAGCCCAGTCTCTCCGGGTGACGTGCCCGAGCATGTCCGCTCCGCAGCCGGAGCCGGCCGTACCCGAGTGCGCCCCCCCTCGACCGGCAGCTGCGCTGTAGCTTCGGCATCTGAACCCGGCAGAGACGCAGAGAGCCGCGCCGGACCGCAGCCATGGGTTTCTACGGCACTTTAAAGATGATCTTTTATAAAGTAAGTCGGCACTCCGCCCGGCCGCCTCCTCTCTCTGCCGCATTTCGCAAGGCTGCGTGCGTCCGGGGGGTCTTATCGGCTGAAGATGCGGCCGATTCCCCGACAGTGGCTTCCCCTGAGTCCCCGACCCCGATAACAGGCGGATGCTGCTTAACGCAATGAGACCCTGGTTCGCCTTTTTTGCGTGCTTTGCTCACCGTGAATCCCACCGGGATGCGGATCAATAGCCATGCATTTCGGGCTGTAAATAGAAGGGTTTTTTCCGTTTCAAGCCGTATCTGCACTCGATGCTCCCACCTTGGGTGTACGGGGGTTTCCGCGGTGCGGATTGGTGTTTGTCCGTGAAAACTGTGTGAGAAATTAGAAAGGACACCGGTACCGGATTCGCCGTGCCGGCGCGGGGACCGGGCGCATTTATCCGCATTCATACCGGAGTGAGACTGCGCCCTCCGCGGCTCTGCTAAACCCACCTCTTCGGGTTTATCCATGCAGATAAGTGATTACACGAAGTTGTGGTTTTCGTTGCTCCGAGTCCGATCGTGATTCGGAGGGCATCTGTTTGCGCGCTGTGACCGCGCCGAAGGGCTCCCCATTTCCCTGCTTATTTCCCGGCTTGCCCCCCTTCATCTTATCGCGTCTGAAATGCCAGCGCTGCTCATCACGCTAGTAATTGGCGCATAAGCCGCACTGTGGATCGCCAGCTCTTTCCCCGGAACAGTTTCCGTAGGATTCATGCGGGTGTTTTATTTCCGAGACGCGCCGTGGTTTTAATTAGCTGTAGGCCGGTGCTGCAAGCGATCGGTTGGTCCGGGGGAGGGGATGGGAGGGGGGGGGGGGGGGGGGGGCGCTGGACAGTATCCACAGCTTTTAGAAAATAAGAGTGGCCAAGCCCAACATTTTATACGAATACGGTAATTGGACCCGCATGCATGACGGGCTGTTTCAAATGAGTGTGGAGAGCCCCCCCCCCCGCCTCATTTGCATCCCTGAGTCATAATAAAAGCATGAAGGTGTGGATGTTGTTTTTGAATGATTTGTGTGCCTAATGGCCACTGCTGCAAGGCTCCGGTAATAAACGCCTCCGGTTCATGTGCTGGGGAAGTTAACGGATGTGTTCATCAAGCCTCACCCCACCCCACCCCCCCAAAAATAATAATAATAAAAAAAAATATATATATATATCTCCTTACACCACTGGACTTTGCTCACAGAGTGGAATCTTGCAGGGCTGGCCGGCTTTGCCCTTGTGATGCCCCCTCCCATTTTTTATGGCTGTTCCATGTCACGGGGGGGGGGTCTGCTTATGGAGATCCGGGTCCAGCCAACACCTGTCAGACAGGATCTCCCCAGTAGGACGACGGCAGCGGATTCACTGCAGTGGGGGCAGATCCCATCTTGCCCGGTCGCCTCCCCCTCATTATAGCGTCCTGAGGCTCCCTTTTTCCCCAGAATGCTGTCTCGTTTGCGCTGTGGCCTGCGGGCCTGCAGCTTTTTCTGCACCGAGGCGCAGCTGCTGCTCTGCGTGCAAAACCGGTCTAAGCTCCTCCGCACCTTGCAGCCCGTTTGGAGCCATGTGACTGCTGGTATGTGCCTGTATACGCATCTGTGTCCGAGGCAGGGTGAATATGGCTGTGCTGGTATGCACCTGTGTTTCAGTCAGGATGAGTATGATTCTGCTGATATGCACATATGTCTGAGGCAGGGTGCATATAACTCTGCTGACATGCACCAGTGTCTGAGGCAGGCTGCATAAAACTGTACCCGATGATACCTGATGTTCTCCCACAAAAGACTGGCATTCCAGTCAGGGTTGTTCAAATATTAATCAATGTCCTGTGTGTTCTGGAGGTTACCTAGCTGGTCACTGGCCAAATCCGGCCTTCCCTGCTCTGTCTCTGCGTTCCCGTGGCAGGGCTTTTCCCTGAAGATGGTACTCCAGTAATTCCCTAGAAAGGGAAAGGCTTTTAATTTGCCTGGATTAGAAGCACGGGCGTAAAAGGCTTGTCTGTTGGCGCAGGAATGGATTTGTGTGTATGTGTAGGTGGGAGGGGTTGCTATATTTCTGTGAGTCCTGCAGGTCTCCGGCCCCCCTCCCCCTACCACCCTTGCAGAGGTGCGTCATTCTGAAACTGGCTTTGCTGCAGAGCTCTTTTCTCGGGACGGCATAGCACGCCGTGCCTGCTTTTGTGTGGCATCATGCAGGCATGCTTGGTCTGCGTGTTTGTCCTGTGCCCCTCACGCCCCTGGCGGATGGCGGGCCTCTGTTAGCCAGCGTCTTTGTCCAGCTCTACCTGTCCTTACTGGCCTCTCCGGGTCATGCTGTTTTGCTCGGGAGGGGTGTTTAGATACTGGCTTGTCTCTCAGCCCCCCGGCCTTTCATCCCCCCCCCTTTTGTTTTGCAGATGAAGAGGAAGTTGGACCATGGCCCCGAGGTCCGATCTTTCCCTTCAGGAAAAAAGCCCTGCAAAGGCTCGGAATACCCAAGGTAATAGCCCCGCCCACATAAGCAGGCCCCGCCCACATAAGCAGGCCCCGCCCACATAAACAGGCCTCAGTGCCTAACTCACAGTGCCCGGGTGGCAATGGAAAGCATGTTGTTAGGTCCCTTGATCTGAAACCGCCCCACCTGTGAGCCCCAGGTGTGCCGTCTCATTCGTCTTTGCCCAAAAGCTGTGTGCGGGTTTTTTCCCCACTGCACCAGCTACCATACTTCTGGTACCTCATCGAAGTACCAAAAATATGGTACTTTAAGGCGATGGTTCTCCACTGGCATAAAAACTGGTACCGATTGACATTACAACTCGAGGTGGGGTATTTCATACTGATTTTGAAAAATGGCTGTAGTATAATTTACAACTTGGCAATGTGCAACATTAATACCAACATCGCATGTTATGCACATACAATTCTTACATTACTAGGCAGCTAGATTAAGATCAGGGCTTTTCTTACTTTTAATTCTTAATCATAATATTATTATAGCGCAAGGAGTTGAAGTTATGCTAAAATATTTTTACTCTTACTCTGTCATAGGAAAAAAAACGTAGCAAGCTTTGCAGTTTCTAATTATTGTTCCTTTATAGATTCTTATATGTATAAAAATCAGTGTAAAGTTTTACCTCTGCTGTGTGTGTGTGTGTGTGTGTGTGTGTGTATGTGTGTGTGTGTATATATAATTTTTTTGTTTGCTTGTTTTTTTTTTTTTCTTTCCACTTCGTTTATCATTATTCTCTGAGTTCAAAACAGTGTATTATGTTTCAGAGGCAGGGTATTTGCATAACCAATCGACAAAAAAAGCATTTCACTCCAAAGTACCAAAGAAGTACCCCAGCTGGTTTGGGACTTTTGGTACTGGTAGTCGACTGGAAGTCAATGGAAAAGCAGTAGTTCCCAAAGTACAGTACCTGGTGCAGTGGAAAAGCTCACCAGGTTCTTTATTGACCTGTCAGAGTTTCAACGTACTCTCAGGTGGCTGGTGACGTGCCCACCTGTGTGAACAGCAGATCTCAGTGTCTGCCTGTGCATGAGTGTGTTTGGGTGCGCTCTTCACACGGCTGTCCCCCCCCCACCCCTGCAGCCCCGCAGGCATCTACCCGGCCACCCCCACCACCTTCAAGGACCTGCGAGCCGCCAACGGCCAGGGGCAGCAGCGCCGCCGCATCACCTCCATTCCCCCGCCCTCAGGGCTGCAGGACTGGCTCCGCACCTTTCAGGTCTGCGCACCGCCACCCCACCTCCGTCTGCTTTGCAGTAGTGATGGGGGGCCACAGTCTATGCCGATGGCTAAGTGCCGGCCTCTTTCACCACGTTTTGGAGTGCAGTGCGTCCACTCTGTGTTCAGCTCCGTCAGCATTCCCACCCTCTGTAGCAGGACCATGGGAGCGACAGTCGTCTCTGTACACAGATGTTATTGGCCAGCTAATCCTGAGGTGTCCCCCCCCCCCTAGATCCTTTTGGTTGGGCCCTCGGTCCCTTGGCCGCTCTGGTGTCACTCTGGCTCTTTCTGGGCTCTGCATGTGCCCGCCGCACCCAGGCCGGCTGAACTTTCCGCTACGTCCTATATTTTGCTGTTGGGCCCCTATGAGACGTGACCTTTCTGTCTGCATCACGGCCTCTGCTCTGTGCTGAGCTCTGCAGGCTGGGGGCGATGCCATTTCCAATGTCCAGTGGGGAGGTGGGGGCTGTTTCTTTAGGCCAGGGAGGTGGTAGCCCCATGTCGTTAATGAAAACGGGCTGCCAAGTGGGACCCAGTTGCATAATTAACTGAATTGCACCCCCCCACAGTATCAGTGATGAGGGTCTTTCCGGTCTGGTGCTCACTTTGGAGAGCCTGACTGTGTGTGGCCCCCGGGGGCCGGAGAGACTGACTGTGTGTGGCTCCACAGAGCTGGAGTGGCACGGAGAAGCTGCTGGCGCTGGACGAGCTCATCGACAGCTGCGAGCCGACGCAGGTCAAGCACATGATGCAGGTGATCGAGCCGCAGTTCCAGCGCGACTTCATCTCCCTGCTGCCCAAAGAGGTGAGGGGCCAAGGTGTTACGGTGCCCCCTGCAGGGGGTGGGGGGGATGGGCTCCTGCCAAAGAGACTCAGAGCTACTTTCTCCTAGGCTGGTCTTGTACTGTTTACAGTCAACTAAAATTATGCAGTTTTAAGCTGCTAGGACCTTAATGTCTTAGTGTGGCTGGATGTGTTAAAGGGGCAGGCCAGTCATATGCCCTAAAAGGGGACAGGCCAGGTGTAGGGCGAGGTGGGTGGATGGACACCCTGAAGGGGACGGGCTGACCTGAAGGGGGGCTGGGCTGGGCCAAGCGGATGCCTTAAAGGGGCGGGCCGCCCTGTAGGGGGTGGGCTGGGCTGGGCCAAGCGGATGCCTTAAAGGGACGGGCCGCCCTGTAGGGGGTGGGATTGGCCGGGCGGATCCCTTAATGGGACGGGCCACCCTCTCAGGGGGGTGGGGGGTGTGGGCCAGGTACTTTGCTTGCTGCTGACCGCCTCTCCCTCCCCCTCCCCCTTCCCCTCCCAGCTGGCCCTCTACGTTCTTTCCTTCTTGGAACCCAAAGACCTGCTGCAGGCAGCTCAGACCTGCCGCTACTGGCGCATTCTGGCTGAGGACAACCTGCTGTGGAGGGAGAAGTGCAGGGAGGAAGGTGGGGGCCGTATCATCCCCACACGCATACATACTCACCACACAGCTGCCTCTGGAACACTGCAGCACACACAGGATGGTCTGATTTCCCCCCCCCCCCACCCCCCCCTGTCCTGACAGGCATCGACAAGCCCCTGCACGTCAAGGGGAGAAAAACAGTCAAACCTGGCTTCACCCACAGCCCTTGGAAGAGCGCTTACATCAGGCAACACAGGGTGGACACTAACTGGAGGAGGGGGGATCTTAAACCTCCCAAGGTAACTTTTGAAATACATGCAATTTTTTATTACACTGCCTCCTTGAGGCCAGGAGGACTAGTAGTTTTATCAGTATCATTCGCAGTATCACGCTGTCCAGGATCCCGGGCTGGTTGTTTGGAACATAGAGCTAACTAGCTGGCTGGGGGGGCATTTCCCCCCTCTGCTCTACACGTCCCCGCGGCGCCCCTGTGGTTAGCCTCAGATCTTTCCAGACGCTGCCCCGGAGCCCCCTCCCTTACGTTCCCTGCCCATGTTACAGCCCCCGCTGTGTTTCCCCCAGGTGCTCAAAGGTCACGACGACCATGTGATCACCTGCCTGCAGTTCTGTGGCAACCGCGTGGTCAGCGGCTCGGACGACAACACGCTGAAGGTGTGGTCGGCCATCACCGGCAAGGTAAGCACTGGTCAGATGGGGGCGCTGCTGCATGCTATTGGTTCACATCCAGACCCTCGTTTCTGTGTGTTAGTGGTTCCTTTAGTAGCCGCCTTGGTGTACGATACATCGCCCTTTTGGGGATGGGGGGGTGGGAGGGTTTGTCGTTTTGGTCAGTGGAGTGATGGGTATCCCATTCTGTTCTGGCTGCCCCTCCAGTGCCCCACTGGGTTTTAATGTGGTGTAACGTCGCCGCCCTGCAGGACACCCACAGGCAGCTCTCCCATTGGATGGCTTTGTCCATGTTCTTGCCTGCTTGATGTTTTGATGTCCGAGAGAACAAACACACCCCCACAACCCATGCGATGGGAGGTGAAGTGCCCCCCCCCCCATACTCCCTCTATGGTGGAGATGCCCTTCAGTCTGAATCTGCATGCAGCGTGTGCGTTGTGGCCTGCTGGATCTACACCGGCGGCTCCCCACAGAGAGGGCGGCGCTCAACCTCTGGCAGCCCCATTTGGGATTGGATGCTAGGGGCGACTGTGTGTGTGTGTGTGTGCGCGTGTGTGTGTGTGCGTGTGTGCGTGCTCGGTCTCCCTCCCTCTCCACACGTGTGTGCCTACCTGCTCTCACTCGCTCGCTTTCTTCCTCTCACTTGCTCTCTCACCTGCCTGCTCTCTCTCTCCCCCTCTCTCACTTGCTCACTGCCTGCTCTCTCTCTCCCCCTCTCTCACTTGCTCACTGTATCTCTCTCTCTCCCTCTCTCGCCTGCCCGTCTGCCCGCAGTTTCGGTGCACATTCCTCTGCTGCCGAGAGGCTCCGCCAGTTTCGCCCTCGTTTGCCGCCCCCCCTCCCCCCCCAGCATTGCTGGGTCAGCACGCTGCTCTCACTGCCGGATTGACGCCTTCCTTGACGCGGCACCGGTGCACCAGTACCTCCCGGCACGTCAAGCTCATCGCCGTGTCCAGAAGGACGGCGCCCCCAGCCACTCGCTCACTGGCCCAGTATTTCCTGTCTCCGGGGAAACGTGCCTCACCTCGCATTCCTGGGCCCAGTTTCACTGTTAGCCTGTTAAATATTTGCCCTGCTGGGATCACGCCCTTGTCTCGTCTCGGCTCAGTATGACCCCATTCCTGCCTTCCCTGGCTCTTCACCTTTGGAAGCAGCTCTTCCTGCTGATTGGAGTGAAGCTGGAGACCCGCAGGTCAGCAGAATGCAGTGTGCAGGAGCCGTTCTCGCCCGCGGGGTCTCCGGGGGTTTTCCCTCCGACTCTCACTGTAACCTGAGTTGGGGCTTGGTAATAATCAGGCGCTGCTCCTGTGATCCTCATCACATTTTCAGCCGGAACGGAGCATCAGACTCTCTGGAAAACCATGCGGACTGTGATAGGAGCGTCGAGGTTACGGGGGGGCGGAGAGCTGCCTGGAATCCTGGGATCGAGTTTCATTCCCACAGTATATGTGGAGGAAACAGAATTGAGCTGCAGTTCATATGTGATCGTATGTGTCGTAGAGATTGTCACTGCAGCATGGGGTCGTCCTCTATGGCCGGGTGACTCTCTGGGTGCTTAATCGTCCCCAGCCGGGACCTTGCTGAAGCAGCCAATCAGAAGGTCATGGGGCGGGGCTAGATACGATTTGCAGGTTTCACTGCCACTCACTCTCTGTTTGCCATCATCGTGTGTGTGGTGAGCCGCTCAAATTGATTGGGGTTTAATGCCGATTGGGCTGCCACAGCCCATCACCATGCTCACCTGCTCTCCCCCCGCAGTGCTTACGGACGCTGGTGGGCCACACCGGGGGTGTGTGGTCCTCCCAGATGAGGGACAACATCATCATCAGCGGCTCCACAGACCGGACACTGAAGGTTTGGAACGCGGAAACGGGCGAGTGCATCCACACTCTGTATGGGCACACGTCCACCGTGCGCTGCATGCACCTGCACGACAAGAGGTGAGGCCGCGAGGGGGGTGCTCATGGTGCGGGTGCGGGGGCCGGGCGGGAGCGGGGGGGCTGTTACGGGCCCGGTTGATGGCGTTTCTGAGTATACTCAGCTCAGTCCCTCAGGGTTTGCCCTAGGGGGGGGTGTGAGATTTCTTCTTCGTCCGCTGCGCCTCGTCACTGACCTTGCTCCCTGCCCCCTGCCCTCCCCCCAGGGTGGTGAGTGGATCGCGGGACGCCACCCTGCGCGTCTGGGACATCGACACAGGCCAGTGCCTGCACGTGTTGATGGGCCATGTGGCGGCAGTGCGCTGCGTGCAGTACGACGGGCGGCGCGTGGTCAGCGGGGCCTACGACTTCATGGTGAAGGTGTGGGACCCCGAGACGGAAACCTGCCTGCACACGCTCCAGGGCCACACCAACCGCGTCTACTCGCTGCAGGTGGGGGGGCCGTGGGATGGGGCCGGGCCGGGCCGGGCTCTGCGCGGCACCCGGCAGCCTGCTAACGTCTCGCCGTGGCCCCCGCAGTTTGACGGTGTCCATGTGGTGAGCGGCTCCCTGGACACGTCCATCCGGGTGTGGGACGTGGAGACGGGCAACTGCATCCACACGCTGACGGGCCACCAGTCGCTGACCAGCGGCATGGAGCTCAGGGACAACATCCTGGTGTCGGGCAACGCCGACTCCACCGTCAAGATCTGGGACATCAAGACGGGCCAGTGTCTGCAGACGCTGCAGGGTGAGTCTCCTGGGCCGTGTTTAGCGTGTGCGCAGTGTCTGCGGATCGCACACGCGTGTCCATGAGGCCGGGAAGGGGCATCTCCCGCCCACATTCCTTCCTCCTTTTAGGCATCACATGCTTTTGTTTAATAAAAAGCAGATTTTGCATTGATGTGACAGCTGGCTGGCATTCCTGGGTATTTTTTACAGGGGGTGTGATTTCACTGCTGGGTGCCTTTTAATGTTTGATGTGGGGGGGGCTCTGGGTTCTGGTTCTGATTCTGATTCGGGGCATTGCAGCGTCAGCTCAGCCTGAAAGCTCGTCGTCTTCACGGTCATGCTCTCACTCTGGACGGGAAACACCCAGCAGGGGGGAGGTGGGGGAGGGTGGGGGAGCAGCCGCCAGCTGCGTGTGACGGGTCGCTGTGGGCCCCCCTGCATGCTCAGCGCGAAAGCCGCCACGTAAATGGCCCTCTGTGTGAGGTCATGAGGTCTGCACCGTGCGGACACACAGGGGTCGTTATGAGGTCATTGTCTCTGCTCGCGGGAATCTGCCCGGGCATCCTCGATGGTCTGCTCTCTGATTGGCCAGCAGGGCGCGGCCAGCCTGAGCAGTGACAATGCTGTGTTCCCTGATTAATTATAAACAAAGGAGGGTTAATAATTAAGCCGTCATTACCATGCTGTTTACGGAGCAGAAAGATGCTGATTAGGAGCTTTAATCTCTGACAGAGCCGTCTCCAGGTCGCTCGCCGGATCGGGTTCTGCGTGAGCCTTGTGTGACTTTGTGTTTGAGCCCGGAACCCGCGGCGGTCACTTATCCGCGGGGCTTTAGGACCAGGGGCTGCCGGCTTCCCCAGCCAGCCTAAGGCCCCGCCTTCCCAGCCGCGGTGTCGCGTACCTCAACCTCAGGCATGTCCTCAGACCTGTTTACAGGCTTAGTAATATGTGCCCCGTCCTTCGTCTCTGGGATAGAATTATTTTTAAGTGACTCTGACGCCAGCTGTATTTGGAAAGGGTTTCTTAAAGTGTCTGCATCTGAGCACATTTTAAAAATGAAATTTAAATGACTTTGAATGTAATTTTAAACAGTCTGTTCACTGAGTTTCTGTCCCCGGACTGTTAGTCGGTATAATACCGCATCGGGTTGCTGTTTTGGTAAGACTAGGTCACCTGTACTGGTCTACTGTGCTACTGGTCTACTGTGAGATTGTGCTGATCTGGGGGGGGGGTCCTTCCGGCTGTTTCCCGCTGCATTCTGGGATTGAAAGACGCAGCGAGGGGGGCGGTGGTGATGTTCCCTTGCTGTGCGGCGACACGCAGGAAGGTCTCACAGCTCGTCTCTCCTGCCCAGGTCCCCACAAGCACCAGAGTGCCGTGACGTGTCTGCAGTTTAACAAGAACTTTGTGGTGACCAGCTCGGACGACGGCACGGTGAAGCTGTGGGACCTGCGGACGGGGGACTTCATCCGCAACCTGGTGACGCTGGAGAGCGGCGGCAGCGGCGGCGTGGTGTGGCGCATCCGCGCCTCCAACACTAAGCTGGTGTGTGCCGTGGGCAGCCGGAACGGCACCGAGGAGACCAAGCTGCTGGTGCTGGACTTTGACGTGGACATGAAGTGAGGCCCCGCGGGGACCGGCGGGGTCTCTGGGCCGGGCTTTTCCATGGGGTCCGTCCTCCAGCCCCCACCCTCGGAATAAGGGCCGGGCCCCTGCAGCGGAGTGGCCCGTGTCCCCCGGAAAGGCGTCGGCCTGAGGCGGGGGAGGTGGGGATGGCGGAGCCGGCGTGAGGGGGGCCCTGCAGGGGACTCGTCCGGTGAGCCGGCGGGGGCATGGGGTCGCTCAGCGCAGTGGGGACGGAGTGGGGGGCCGTCGCAGTATGCTAACTAGTGTAATATAATAATTAAAGTAACATAGAGTGTTGTAAAGGGGAGAAAAAAGCTACTT